ACCTTCAACAACATCGATTTCGATGTCATCTTCATCTCCTTCAGCGGCATCTTCAGGAGCACCATGACCGTCATCTTCAAGGTCGGTCTCGTCCCCAGGAGGATCGCCAAGCGGGGTTCCTGGTTCGTACTCGCCGCCCTCAGGTGGTTCTTCTTCCTCTTCCCCAGGAGTTGCCGAATGTTTCTGCCGGTTCATTGTTCTTCTCTTCTTCTTCTTCTTGAGCTTCTTAACATGTCGGGAACAATTGTGATCCTCAGTCGATGTCTCAAGACCACTTTCTCCATCGAGATGTACTCTTCGTGAGGATTGACCAATATTGCTAATAGTATCGTCGAAGTCATCGACTCCAATTTGAGAGTGTGTCAAAAGGTCATGGATCTCCGATGCATGATGGCATTCATGAGGAGTGCATTCATATGTTCCAAGATCAACATAAGGAATGTTATCGTGGATTGTCAGGTCGATGCGCTCACCATCCTTTGTAATCAAGAAAGGCATTTTACCAGAAGGCCATATAAAGGAGTATCCCTCTTCCATGCATCGTTTCCCAAGAGACATCACGGACGGAGTGTCGTCCAGTACATAGGCATGAGAGGTCACATCAAATGTCCCCAGGTCAATCTCTGCTTCCGTCTGGGTAGCAGTTGAACCATTGGCAGTGTGGAACATGATAGGATCACAAGTTCGTTGCTTCAAGTTCATCCTTTCGGCTTTCCTTGCAGAAATCAAATCATGTCCGCTTCCAGAATCCAGGATGAATCTACGATCTTTAGCTTGCACTGGTAGTGAAATGCACATCACGTTCTTGGACTTCATGAGTGATTTTCCAGTTTCATGTTCAACAAGCTCTTCAATAAAAGTCAAGTCATCATGATTATAGTCCAGTTTGATCAACATGTCGAACTTGGGGCCAATGATGATTCTAACTTCATCAACGAAACGATGGAGTCCACATCTGTCCATGATGATAGCCTTGGCCCGTGCTCGGACTGAACCGAGGGTGTTGTCGGACTTGGACTGATCGTCGGTCAAATCATCAACTTTCCAGAAGACATATTGCTTGTTGGGGTCACGATACATACGTTTGGGTAGTCCCTCCTGGTAGTCCTCAATGGCGATCTCGTGCACCTCAGGTTCCAGATCAAATGAGATCCTGCGATCATCAGAAGACTTCTTTGCACTGGCTATCCTCGGTGAGGTATAATCCATGGAATCTTCATTGTCGCTATCAAAGAAGGAATCAATGGTAATTGGAGTCGCCTTCTTCCTTGGCGTCTTCTTGCTGGTTCTCTCTGAGGATGCTGAAGGCGATTTATCTGCATGTAGGAATTTACATTTGCTTCCGAACTTGCAGGTACCCTCTTGCCAATTCCAACATACCTTCTTTTTGGGTCCAGCTGAAGATGAACTTCCTCTACTTTTCCCCCTTGATGAATCTCTACTTCCGCTTCTGCCTTTCTTACCTTTCATCTTGGCATCATAGACCTTCTGAGAATGACTGTAAAGACATTTATCACCTTTGTTGCATCCTCCTTTATTGAAGAAGTAGTTACAGAAAATCTTCTTCTTGTCAACGGGTGAAGATGATCTTCCCTTCCCACCTTTCCCTTTCTTGTTGTTCTTGTCGGCATGGGATTTCGGAGAAGGTGTAGGAAGTACCGATGCAGCTTCACTCTTCGCTTTCGCCTTAGGACGTTTGGGAGGATCACCTGTAGACGATGCGGCCGCTTCATTCTCCTTCTTGGTCTTGACGGGAGCGGCAGGCTTGTCTGCATCTTCTAAGGCAGGTGCCGTCTTGTTAGAGGACAATGACAGTTTCACTGCACGTTCTCTATCTTTCAACAGTCGTTCTTGCTTCCCTCGTGCTATGTATCCCTTGATCATACCAGTTAGGTAAGCATAGGTCTTCTCAGGATGCCCTTCATCAAAGGTTTTGTATCGGTTGATATCGAAGGCCATAAGCTTTGAATGTTCAATCTTCCGGAACAATGTGTCACGCAGGGAATTGTTGGAAAGCAGATCATCATGTTTCATGTTGTATACGATGTCAAGCCATTTGTTGTAGAAGGCCTCAAGTTGGTCATCTCCATAGTAGTTGAACATATACAAATGATGGGCATTGTAGAGAACTTCAGTGTGGTCAGGTGACTTGAAGCTAATCAATATCATTGCAAATAGTTCTCGTCCCTTGATGAAGTCCCCACTTCTCCCATACAATTGGTTCTTCATGGACATGTCATACTTAACTTGCATGGACTTGTCCCCAGCATTGTCAATGACTTTCCTCAAGGCGTTGGAGAGCTTGGCATCAATGGATTGGAATCTCACATCAGGAGCTTTGGCCAGGGTCTCCAAGTCAGGTTGATCTGCAAGACACGGAGCTAGCCATGCTTTCCAATCTTCATAGTTTCGATCTCCACTTGCTACGCAAACTTCATGAACGACACTTCCCTTCCAGGATGAAAGTTCAGTGGTCTTAGGCCAGGGTTGGAGGCTGATCTTTTCGGCTTCTCTTAGAGATACGGACGACTTAGATCTATCCCTTTCAAGGTTCTCCAACTCCTTGACATTTGTGTTGTACTCGTTCCTGAGCTTCTCGAAGGCTTCAGCTTCTGCTCGGTATTCCTGCTCTTCATCATTGGCACGATCTTCAGCTTGAGAGAAATTGTTCTTATAGTAATCTTTACGATCTTCCATCTTCTTCAACTCATCTTGAAGATTTCGAACTTCAGCGTTCCTCTCTTGCTTCATCTCGTCCAACTCTGCTTTCAGTTTGGCACACTTCTCTTCACATTCATTCCGAGGCATGGCATTACTGGGGTACCCATGTAATGTAGTCGGTCTATTCATTAATGAAGAAGAATGAGCTTGGTTTTCCAACTTCAGGGCAGCAATAGTGCTCGACATTTCTTCTACCTCAGCGTAACGCTCATTGGCCAATTGATGCATCTCGGTCAAATGGCTTTCAGGAATGGAATAGTCAGTCGCACCTTTGATCACGAGTCTTCTGTCGTTCAACATCTTGATGGACTTACCTGCATCCCTATGAGCACGCTCAAGAGAGTCCTTTTGGGCTTCAAGTTCAGTATGAAGGCGAGCAATAGCTGTATCCCTGTCATTGAGTTCATTGTGCAAACTGTCAAACAAGGTACTCGTCACATTCGGATTGTTACTCATGTGATCGATCTTGTTCAGAGCATCTTGATATTTCTTACCAGTTTCATCAAAGTTTCGCTGGAATACTTTGAGCAGGTCCTCAGTGTCAATGAGTTCAGATCTATTCTGCAAGTACAACTTGTCAACTTCGGCCTTGGATTCTTTCAAGCTGTCACGTTCACGCACGGCTTGCATGTACATCTCATAGAGAGGTCCTCCATGCGGTGATCTGCTTGGTGATGATCTTCTGGCTTGTTGACAGGAAAGTTCATGATACTGATTCTTCGATTCAGTCAGTTGCTGTTGCATTCGATCTAAAAGACTTTGTTTCATGTGTAGTTCAGAACGTAGTCCCATGATCCTCATGTCCCGCATGCCACCTGATTCAGCTAGAGATTCTTCAGAAACCCTGTTCTCAGAAATCGCTAGTCGAGATTGTAAGTTCTCATTGTGGATCACCTGCAATCGAAGTTGCGATTCTTCCAAAGCTAAGTGATGTTCACATTCTGCATAACGGTCATGTTCAGATCTTATGTTACTACGGAACTCCTTCATGATCTCGTCCCTCTTCATGTCAGCAGCATCGAGCTCAGTTTCCAGTCGCCTGACGTTCATGGCCATGGTGTGCTTCATCGTCTGGTTCTGATTAGCAACCTCGAGCATCTCGATCTGTAAAGCACATGTTTGGTCGTTGGCATAGCCGACTGCTAGAGCTTCCTGCTTGGCATTCATCTCTGCGTTTTCCAGTTCCAGTCTGAGTTGATTGATGTGAGCATTCGCATCAGCGCCCACATGCACCATAATTGCGTTTGCTTGTCCCATTTGTTCATCGAATTCCGAACGTAGTCGTGAATATTTGAATTCCAAATGAGATGCAGCTTCATTCGACATAGTCTGATACCTTTCCAACTCTTCGATCCTGTAGGTCGCACCTTCGTCTTCTTGCTGTGCAGCCTGTAACTCGAAGTTCAGCATCTGGAGTTGTTCGGTCATCGACATCATCTCTTGATGAGTGGTGCTTTCCAGGAAATTAAATTGTTGATAGGCATATGCTGTCGTCTCGCTCAATCTTGCCTGAAGTACGGATTCTTCTTCAGTGGCCCTTTCCAGTGATGTCTTGTATTCAGCTAATTCACTCTGATAGGCAGTGAAGATATCGCTACCACTTGATGGGGCGTTCACTTGTTGATAAGATCCTGTCCCTGATGGAGTAGCGTCCTGAATCGGTGAAGGCGGATTCGACGACGCAGTCTTTGCCTTAGTCCTTGGAGTCATCGGAGGCGACAATTGTCGTGCAGATGATCTTCTCTTTCCGGGTGTGCTGTCCCTATCTTCAATTGCTTGCATTGTCGAAATTTGTCTCCCTCTAGGAGCAACCAGAGGTCGCCTGGGTAGGCTTGTTCTCAATTCTGAGGCATCGCTTCCACCAGTGTCGATACTCTGTGAAGAATTTGACTGCGTGCCGGCAGCTGGTGCAACGGCATGTCCAGAGAAAGAAAATGCATTATCGCTGCTATCCTGTTCAGTCATCTGTAAGGCCCGCGGCTACCCGCTCGTAGGCTCCGTAGGAGTCCTACGGCTGATAACCTGCGAATCGGCGATTGTATGTCCGATTATGTCCTGATACTTGGGGTTGAAGTAAAAAGCTTCGGTGACGGCTTCACAAGAATCGCGGCTTCCGCATGGCAGATCTTTGTTCTGGAGCTGCAGTGGGGTCTTGAGCCAAAAGGGCGATTGTCATACCCTTTGGCTGTGGATCTCAGAGTGTTGAATTATGTGATATTGTACAGTGGTCCGTAGCCTACACTCTATTCGCACCAGGTATGATACCCCCATCTGTATGCCTCAAATGCTTGTCCATGATCTCGCATCTCCAGGTGCTTTCTCGCCAGAAATGAACGACCTCACTGAATCTTAGCTGCTTTTTGAGTGAGATCCAATAGCAAACCAGGCTTTCACTTTGCAAGGTATTTGTTTATTTGATTTTATATGTGCATATATATATATATTAATACATACATATATACGTAGAATTATATAGAGATGATAAGCAATAGGGGAAGAGATTGCAACTTCTATAGTCACCAACAAGAAGATCTCGGAAAATCTGATGATTCTTTTTGATGAAATCGGCGCGATTAGTGGTAAATAGCTTTCTGTTGGGATGTACTGGTATATTTGAACAACTACAGGTGCGGGGAGTTTGCTTCACAAACACACAAGCTAATTCTATGGAGAAACTTGCTCGAAAAAGGCAATCAATGTCTGACACTCTGTGTGTTGGTGATCTTTGTCCAAAGCAACAACAAAGTTTATGGAAACACGCACGATAGATTCATTTCACTGTATCACGCTCCGGGAAAAAAAAATATTGCTCACATAGCCTCAAATAAACGTAAATTATCGACAAATTATCGTTCTGAGGGTTACGACAGCAGAGCTGCACACAAGCCTTCAATGCACTGGGAGTCACTGCTTCGGGAATGCTGAAAACAGTGTCAGATCATATCTCTGTCTCCAAAAAACATCAAAAAACAAAATTTGGAATGCAACAGTGTGAAGACAGATAAATCAAAATTGTATAATTACATATATTATTGAATATTTATAGATCAATGATAAAGAAACACCTGAATTCCGCCCAACACACAACAGAACCATAGGGAAATGGATCTTCGAGCGGCCATTTTCTCGCTCTTCTTGGCCACGTCAAAGAAATCCTGGCAGAGTACGACGACCCAAAGAAAAACACATTTTTCTGCATGAGAATATACCACATAGAATGGAGTCATCCATGTTTGTTGGTGTGGAAAGCTCGAATTCAAGAGAGTTTACGGGTACTGGTATGGGTCAAAATGAGGTACCGAAAAAAAGTCAACGGTTGGTTTACGTATATAGAGATGGTGAGTTCATCTTTGGTCCCCGTTGGGCCGAAGAAAGGAATGGCCCATACATTGAATGATATGTTTCATGCATTGAATTTACCTGGGTGCAAGGGCTGGAGTTATCTAAACATAGGGTACACCACCCTAAAATCCCATCAATGATGGTCATTTTCTCATCAAAGTTACAACTTTAAGGTATCCCACATTGTTTTAGGACAAAACCATAGGGGTTAAGCCTCCTTCGCACCAAGTTCATCACTCGGAAGTCCCAAAAAAGACGGCCTTTTCATCAATCATGGTGTATTCACCGTGTCCAGATGCCAGTTTCTTCATCTTCTCCTGATCCAGCTGAACCGCCATGGTAGTCAAACGCGACGGCTAGCTGGAAAATACCCTACACATGGAGGTTTTAATGGGAAAATAAATGAACATCATCTATAACTGGGGGATTGTCCATTGCCACGTTTGATTACCGGAGGGTATTTTTCCCCAAGTTTTGTGGTTTTGTTTTTTTAAAGCTGCATCGCGAACCCTGAGGGCCCCATATCTTTGAATTTGTGGTTGTTGATTGTACTCTCCACTCATTGATTCTACTCCGAGTTTTACTTGTTGTACACCCATGTTCGAGTCTTTACTGGGCAAATCCCAATTACAGTAGAGTTGACTGGTTGGATCCCTATTTGCATGCGTGAATCCCTATCTTTACTGAAATCCATGTTTTCACTGGTAAGTCCTTCTGTTTACTGATTGACTTTCCATTTGCGCTGGCTAAATATATCCACACTTCCGTTAAATCTGTTTAAATCCCCACATTCACGGGTTACATCACGTGAAATCCCTATTTTTGCGGCTAAAATCCTGTTAAATCCCCATGTTTTACGGGTGACATCACATGAAATCCCCATTTTTACCGGTGAAACCGGCGGTTCTTGTGCCGTTTTTTAATGGCGTTTTGGTGTGCGAAAACAGCCAGGTCGCGGTGTGCGTGGACTTCATCTTCTCGAGTCGCTTCCGGCGCAGTTCTTCCAAGTCGTCTTCCTGGAGTCAAATGACTGGTGGAAAAAAATAAGGTAATTTTCATGACCAGTGGTATGATATTAATATATATTTATATATATTAATGGTTATATTCTGGTTATAATATGGTTGTATTATGGCTATATTATGGTTATATTCTGGTTTATAATGGTGTATAGTGGTATGGAAAATGGCATGGAAAATGGGAATATCCATTGGGAATATCCATGGCTAATGGTTGTTATATATGGTTTATGATACTTATAACTATGGTTGATGATACCAAAAATCAATGGATTGGTTTAAGGGAAAATCTACAGGAAACCATGATTTTTTTTACCATCAATTATAGGTTTTTCCTGTAAATTTTCCCATCATCCAATTCTATGTAATTAATGACCAGAGGTATGATATTAATATATATTAATAATGGTTATATTCTGGTTCTATTCTGGTTATATTGTGGTTATATTCTGGTTTATAATGGTTTATAGTGGTACCGATTATGATATTATGGTAATTAGATAATTCACCATTATGATACTGTTACAAGTCACCATTATGATAATGATAAGAGTTACAATTCACCATTGTGATAATGTACCAATGACTGGTATAATCATTAGTTAGTTCACCATATTAGTTATCATATTAATGTACCAAAGGTTATACTCATTACTGGTCAACTAACTAATGGTACCAAATGTGATATTATGATTTATAATGGTTTATATACCAATTATATCACCTATTTTGTCTTGACTGGTGGAAGTAATTTAGGGTAACTAATACCATTAGTAATGGTAAATGGGATATAATTATATAGTAAGTAATTATAAACTAGACTGATAATTAGATAAAGAATTAGTAACTGGGATATTACTGTTAACCAATGATACTAATGATAAATGGGATATAATTAGTAGTATCATTAGTATCCTTAGGGTAACGAATGGGATATACTAGTATGAACTAGTGATACTAGTGATAACTAATGATACTAATGATATTAATGGTGATATCAATCGGATATAATATGATATAATGATGTCCACCAATACTGATGATGAATGACAATATGATACAATTATAGAATGATATAACGATACAATGAATTGATTAATGATACTAATGGCGATATCAATGGGATATAATGAATTCCCTGATATCCACCATTTACCTTAAATTGGTGGGATATGAACATTGATCCCAAAGTCACATGGCTGTAAATACTAAGTCATGGTCTAATTTTGAATGATTTGGAATACCCTGCATGTATATGTGTATATTGTATATGTAACAACATATAATATGGATGTACAGTAGTGAGGATATAATATGGATATACAAACCCTCTGACGTGGATATAGTATGGATACAATATGGAAATAATATGAAAGGCGAATATACTGGGACGATGGATATAACGGGAACATCATGGGGATATCAAAAATGACAATTGGAATATTATTGGAATATCAAAAAGGACCAATGAGGGAATATACTACAAGGTGGTGCCCCATAGTTAGCTAAGTTGGTTTATAACTCCCATAACTATGGTTTATGGTACTTATAACTATAGTTAATGGGGTTTATAAACCAACTTACAACTGGGGGGCACCATCCTGTAGCTATGTAAAATCACTCGTTTAAGTAAATCCTCAGACATCATCGAACTAAATGGACATAAATGGACCTATGTTCAATGGCTATATCCATGCAACAAAAACGTTGTTTTCACGAGATCCCGATTATGGTTTATATATGTTTATATACCAATTATATCACCTATCTTGTCTTGTTGATTCTTGTTGTTTATATATAATGTTGGTAAAATAATGTCATAAACCATCCCCCAGTCATCACCATAAATAGGTGGTGTGTATACCATTCCCAGTCATGGGTGGTTTATTATTGTTTTACCCACATTATATATATATATATCTCTCACCTATTTTGTCTTGTTGATTCTTGTCGTTTATATATACATATATGTATACTACTTGGTGGTTTCAACCATCTTGAAAAATATGAGTTCGTCAGTTGGGACGATGAAATTCCCAGTATGATGGGAACAATAATCCAGTCATGTTCCAAACCACCAAGCAGTATAATATATATATATACACTGTATAATATGGTAAATCATATGGTATATCTATATCATATCCCATAAAACCCAGTTATGGTTGAGAAACTAATGATACTTACCGAACATCCACCATTTGTAGGTCATCCACCACCAAGCAGATATGTCATTAAACACTATTAACCACTATTAACCACTATTAACCACTATTAACCACTTTTCACCACTATTCACCACTATTCACCACTATATTGGGAAACCACTATTATTGTTCCAAACCACCAAGCAGTATACCCTCTGGTAATTTAACATAGCTATTGAAAATGGCCATAGAAATAGTGAGTTTCCGCATTAAAAATGATGAGTTTCCATAGTTATGTTAGTTTTCCATAGTTATGTTAGTTTTCCATAGTTTTCCATTTTATAGTGAGTTTTCCATAGTTATTAACCACTATATTCAAAAACCACTATTATTGTTCCAAACCACCAAGCAGTATAACCAACCAGTATACATCATCCTAAATCCTTCAGTAAATTAACATAGACCCTGGTAGATAGGGGTTGGAAGATTAGTTTCCTCTAAAAATTGGTGATTTTCAGGGTCAACAAGTTAATTTACCAGAGGGTAAATCCTCCAGCATCAAATCCTTCCAACCGCATCTCCTTCAAGGCGTCGAGGCGGGCGATCTCTGCATCGATTTCCGCCTCCGCATCCTGGACCCGTTGGACCCGTTGGACCGTGCCGGGTTCACCCCAAGTCATAGCTGGGTTAATAGCTGGATGTGAATAACCCCCTAAAAATGCTATGAAAATAGGTATTGATCCATAGCCATATAGACTCCATATGATAAAAAAAACATATGTTACATGTTTTATTGGCAATGATCATAGATCTAGGAAATATATAATATTATTATAAATTAACTTGTTGGCATGCGTTTTGGGTGCATATTGAAATGCTCGAACATGGGAATTACAGTTATATGTCCTTATGAACAAACTAATCTGTAGGTTTTGAAAGGCTTAAATCATGTCCAAATAAACAAATAGTAAGTTTTCTGTAGTTTGGTAAATCCATATCCTTAAGACATCCAAAACTAAGGATTTACCAAGTGGACCTGGGGAGACAACCCCATACTGCACCAACCTTTAATGCATCTCATGAGGATGTATCCGTTCTACAACGAAGATATCATGAAAGGAGCAGCGAACACTGGGTATCTCAGCAATACTTTGGATCCAACAAATTCACGAAGCCAGGAGTTTTGTTTAAATATCAGCAACATTTTTTCGACGTGGTCTCAGCACATTTTTGGGGATAAAAAAATATGTAGCCTGTCGCAAAAAATGAACCTTCACGGCTCGGCCGTGGGGAATTCCCTCTGTTGGTCAATCACTATATACAGATCTAGATAGATCTATAAGGATCTATATAGATCGATATATATAATAGTGATATATATAGTGATTGAAGTTACAATATATATATATAGTGGTATATATATATACTACTATATAATCTATATATACCCTTAACGGTTATTGAACGTAGCTATGGAAAATCACCATGGCCCATAGAAAAAGATGATTTATGAGGATTTACCGTTCTTAAAAATTGTGATTTTCCAGGGCTACGTCAAATAACCAGATGGTATACAGTCACCGACAGAATTATGGAAAAAAAATAAACGTTTCAATTTACAGGCGCCGCCTGTCTATGATAGAAAAGTTACGAACCTTTTTTTTTCCATAATTATTTTTTCCATAATTATGTTTTTTCCATAATTCTGTCGGTGACTGTATGTTCATCGATTGGCAATTTGAATGCATTTTAAGGGGGAATATTGAATTATAGAAAATATGTGTCTAAAGATCTGGTATATGCCCCTAAATGTTCCATTGATATACATAATATCATGTGATGTTCGCAATTTGAATGCATTTTAAGGGGGAATATTGAATTATAGAAAATATGTGTCTACATATGCGGGATGTTTCCTTTTGCCAACAGGTGGAGCCCCAAACATTAATTATGGAAAAAAAAACTATGGAAAAAATAATTATGGAAAAACCGGTCAATCTGCCCTAGCCCCCTGATTTCACAGGAAAAATCAATTATGGAAACAATGGCCACCTCCAAGAATTATGGAAAAAAAAAAGGTTCGGATCACATCCGGGATATTTTGAACCCTTATGGGGAAAAATCCAATTATGGAAAAATCGGACGCAGGCGCCGCCTGTCTAAGTTGAACGGTTTTTTTTTCCATAATTCTGTCGGTGACCATATATATATACTATTATATATAAAATACCATTCTGTATAGGGGAATGTGACTATCAAAGCCGGGCTGGGTTATCTGGGTTGATTAGTATTGCAGCAACAATTGAATGGTTGATATCCCATGTTTGATGCTTCATGTCCTCAATTGTCCTGGTTCGGGGAGGGATTCTTAAATTGGTTGTTCGTTTCAGCCTCCCAGAAAAATATCAGGCGGCAGACTCGCTTAAAAAAAAACAAGTATAGGGTTGAAAAAAACATGCCAAACCACCAGCCAACTTTCGCGAAACTTTCGCGAAAAAAAATGTTACCTGCGCGAACTCGAAAAAAACTTTCGCGAGGGTTTCCAACATAACATGCACGGCTTTCGCAATTAAAACTCCTTACAAGGACCTTTAGATCGACCACCATTTGTATACACACCTCAAAGTTGGTTGGATCCCTAACAAACCAACAACCCAAACAGTGCGTTCCTCGGCGGCTTTCACCAAAACGTCATTCAGGACTTGGATGTTCCTCGTCCGACTGGAGATGCCGAGTCAAGTGCAGGGTCTCATGTGCACTCTATAGAAATCGAGGTTTTTGATGGTTGAAAAGGGCCTCCAATTCCCACCATTGCACAAATAACATTGCCGGGGATATCATGAAAATGAATAACTCATTCAGATATTCCTTTTCAAGGTGAAAACATAATATTAGCCTCACTACCGCGGCATGGCAAGGAACTTCTCGTAGTAACCCATCTTCGTTGCACCTGCAGACCAGCAGGCCATTTTTAAGGATTTTTGTTTAGGTATACTGAAAAAGGGAGGGGATATAAGCGGCATGTATATATATATATATAATATGCATATACACATGGAGGTTTCCTGAAATGGGGATACCCCCAAATCATCTATTTTAATAGGATTTCCCACTATAAACTATCCATTTTGGGGTACCCTCATTTATGGAAACCCTCATATGTATCATAAGACTGTAGACATGCAAACCCAATATGAGCAGAAAGGAAACACCCAAACAAAATGTGGCATGAATGACTTTGAATGTGAAACTCTTGCACGATATCGGGTCGTGACTACCAGGCACCCATCAACCTATATCAACTTGAAAAAATCAACCCGAAGACCACTTCCCATCATCGCCAATCCAAGACACGCTGAAGATAATATTTTTATATTTTTTGTTGAGATACTTTAGTAGTGTATTAAAATCAATATATAATCCACTATATATAACTATCCTGCATCCATCAATATCCTATATACCATTGTCCTCTTCCAGTGTCCCTCATTTCTAGAAAGAAAATAACCTCATAGCCTACCCAAAGTTTTTCCCAGGATGCAGCACCAAACAGCACGGATCGTGATGGATCCTACAGCTGTTACACACTATATCGCAAGGGTGTTTGTAAAAATGCAAAAATGTGGTAAACTGCTAGAGAACTATAGGCCGGGACGGCCAGTAAGCAGGAACCAGCCGAAGCAAAGTAGTAAGCAGGAGGGTATTTTAGGGATTCATATAAGGTCCCGTTCGTAGCCCCGAGCTGCTTACTGCCCTGGCCAAATTGTAGGGAGGGTTCCTGCTTACTACGTTGTCCCAGCTTTTCCTCGGAAAGAGGCTCGGTACAAGGCAATTTTTTCTTCCCCCGCATGATCTTGACACTAAGTCTACTGTACCTGTCCTGTGGGTTGTGTCCAAAAATAAGGTGCCCCACCTGAAAATTTGCTGCTGAATTATCACTTTCCCTGTAAAGATTGCCATTTTGGGACACATATACCCCTATTTTCAGACATACCCACAATTTCCAAGGATATATTCACCTCGCTTTCTCCATGCCATTTACTGGATCCATACCTGCCAAAATGACAACAAATCCCTGTAGATAGTTATGTAAATGTTGTTTCTTTGGTGACGTTTGAGGTCGCCAACAGTCACAAGAAACTGCAAGACAGCTTTATTTCTGAAACTGAAGCAAGATATGGACCCAGCATTTTCCATTCCGTGCCATAATGTACGTAGGTTTGATTCAGAAGGTCCATAGAGACCAAAGGGCTAGATTTTCACTTTACATCATGTCCCAAATTAACTTTCAAAGCCCCAACCAAGACCTGAATTCTCTCTTTGGAAACTGTACAATTGGGATTGTTGGAGGCATGTTGTTCCCATGCCCAAAGCAAACACTGAAGAAGGGCGGCCACTGGAGGAACATACCCTTTGCCCTTCAAATTTCCAAAAGTTCGACCGGTTGACTTCTGGTGGGCAGCAGGGTACCGAACTTGAAACGTGTTGGTCGTGTAATGGACCCCAATTCCAACTCCTTTCAGGTTGGGCAACTGGGTAAGACCAGCAGTTTCTAAGAAGTTGAACGCAGGGCAATCAGCTAGCTTTTCATTTGAGATGTTCACAGCAACTGGTGGGGTATGAGAATGGCCCTCTACTTCCTCATTTTTGTTGGGATCACCCAAAATGAAGCAGGCCCCCGACTCATCCAAAGTCCATTCTTCACCCTCAAGATCAGCATCACATGGTTGGTGCTCATTCTCGGAAAACGCATGGTCCTCCAATGGGGTGCAGTAAGCAGATTGGTGCAATATGCTTACTGCAGTTGTTTTGGATGTGTTGTGCATATAAGTTTAAACCTGTCCAGGCCTGCTGTTGCCCTTCATTCTGGGATGTTCATACCCTGCAGCCCGATACGTATATAGGCATAAATATATACTTCACATCCATCATCGATTTACCTATGTACAAATAGCTAGGTTCATATCTACAGATGCATTTATGCATGTATATGTATATACATGTATATGTATATACATGTATATAAATGTATATGTATATATTTACATATTATATATATACATGTATGTATGTGTAAGTGTAAATGCACATGTAAATGCAAGTCCAAGTGTAAATGTACATGTAAAAATGTAAATTTTAGAATATTGTGTGCATGTAGAAGGTGCAGTAAGCAGATTCCTGAAATCTGCTTACTGCGTTCACTAAAAAGATGTGTGATTGTGCAGGCGTGCGGTTGTGGTCAAACAGTGTATATATGTATATGTATGTATAATATATATATATATATATATATCTTTCTCTCTCTCTCTCTCTGTGTCTTTGTGCTACCCGTTTCACTGTCCTCCTTGTCATCACCAAACGAATCGCCAGCATAGACAGCATCATTGCCCGGGAAATTTGCAGCCAAATCACCATCAGCAACCTCTCCCTCCACGTCATCTTGACCGAGAAGAGCCAACGCACTTTCCACCTCACCCTTTGCATCCTGTTCACAAACTTCATCAGTATCACCAGTGGGCACTGATCCTGGTGCATCCTTGTCCTTGCCACTCCCAGACTTCTTTGGCAATGGCAAATCCTTGAGTATTTTGCTTGAATGAAGAGACAAGTAGGACAAGTGCAATCTAACTTGCTGTATGTCTCGGCTTTGTCCCGTGACAGAGACAAGGCGCACATGCTTCTCACTGGGAGGCTCGGTCAAAGCCTGCAAGGTCATTGAAGAAATGCTGAATTTGAAGCCCAGCAGCTTCGGACTCAACTTCACCTTGAGTTCCCCATTCTCATTGGTCAGGTTTCTCCTGTAAACATCACTTGAGGCTTCTTTTCCGGTGGTTTTGGACACAAAAATCACAGACGACGATCCCTTCCCATCCAGTAGGTCTTGGAACTTTTTCTCTGCGTTCTTGGTTTTGATGTCATCAGGCCCAAAGGTCTCTAAGCGGTGTTGCCAAAGAGCTTCGGAGTCTTGCACGCGACTGTGAAAATCTGCCAATCGATTGTTCAACAAGGTTTGCCACAAGGCTGGCAAACATCTCCATTGGCTGTCGTCCCTCTCAAACTCGTCCTCAACGTCAGAGTCTGGGTCGGCTTCGATTTGCCAAAGAAATGTAGTCCTGTTCACATCTGGCTTCTCCAAAACTTCCTCCACACATGTCTCCCACTCACCAGTCTCTGCCAAATGTTCACACTGCTTCATCTCAGCTCTGAGTTCCGCTTCGGTGACTGGTTCAGGCGAAACTTGACCCATCTCTGATAGATCTGCCATGCCACGGGATAACCATGCCCACCTGACAGGATGTGCAGTAAGCAAATCTGCTTACTGCAGTGGGGTCACACATATGGTGAAATATGCAAACGTGTATCTATATACACATACATAGTATATAAAAGTGCCTATGTTGTACCTTTTTGGCCGAAAAAAACCTGCCTGAGAACTTTCTTGCGCTTTGCAAGCCTTTTCCACCCATAGATGCAGGAAATGATAGACAGTGCAGTAAGCAGATTCCCCCAATCTGCTTACTGCAGTGGGGTCACACATATGGTGAAATTTGCAAACGTGTATCTATATACACATACATAGTATATAAAAGTGCCTATGTTGTACCTTTTTGGCCGAAAAAAAACCTGCCTGAGAACTTTCTTGCGCTTTGCAAGCCTTTTCCACCCATAGATGCAGGAAATGATAGACTCTTCATTGGAAACAGCCAGGTGGATATTCCCGTTGCTCATCAAGACTGGGCATTCATGTGCTCGCTTCATCAAACTGTTTCTGTACCCCAAGCATGTTTCCAAGTATGCAGTCATGTGCTGCCGCAGAAAAGAGTGCACGGCATCGCACGGCTGTCCCCGTGCTGACCATCCCCCGGGTTGGCGTTGAGGTAGCAAAACCCGGGAAGTTGCTGAAAATGTCTCTCCTGAGCATGCTGATGGGTGTTTTTGAAAATCTATACCAGCTTTTTCTTTGTAGATCTTTCTATATGTATGCATGTGTATTTGTCCTTTTACCCCTACAGACAAACATACCTCGTCCCAGCATAGAGTGAATCTCACAACAACCAAAGAAAAAACACATTTACATAATACCGTAATACCATGCTGAATGTCTCTGCAAATCAGTTCCTCCATTTTGAGCATGATGGCCAGTGAAGCTGTCGCAGAGTATCGCCCCCCATTCATTCTGAAAGTCTCGCCCGTGTCTTTCTGCAAGAACCCCGCGCCTTCTTTCAAACGCATCTGCCAAAACTGTGTCAAAGTATGTCACCACTGTGTCTGCGTTCATGAAGTGACTTGACCTCCCTGTGCTGATCAAGTAAACATCACCCTCATACTTCTTTTGGAGCTCTGCCTGCTGATCCCCAGTCAAAAAGCCATCTGGAATCACCAAGCAAAGTGGCCCGCACTCGCCAGACCCCCACAATGATGTCACCATGGTCAATGCGTGGCGGCATTGCGAGACGTTGTCGCAACGGCTATCCTTGCCTGCGGGGGGACTGCACCAGAAAAGTATGATGCTGTATGGTAGTAAGGTGCAGTAAGCAGAACAAGGAAATCTGCTTACTGCAGTGGCTTCCTTAGACAACAAAAGTATGATCAGTGGACCCTTTCCCACCAACCCCACCTGCTACCCTCCTTCGCTTCGCTTCCCACTCCACTTCTTTGGGCTGTAGCTTTTGAAGATCTTCAAAAACTTTCGCACGTTTCCCTGAAAGGCTTGCTGTGGCAAAGTCGGTGTCCCTGGTCCTTGTGAGTACTTTCTTAGGTGTAGACCAATTGCTCTTCCACACCTGGTCGAAATTCAAGCAAAGGTCTAGCCTGATGTCTTTGTCCAACCTGCAGGGATGTAGTAAGCAGAATAGAGGAATCTGCTTACAGCAGCTGCTTTTGTATATGCTATATAATTATAGTCAGTATAAGTATAATAAACATATATAGTAGTAATAATAACGATAATAATATATATATATAATATATATAATATATATATATAATATATATAATATATATATTATATATATATATCATATACTGTTATATGTGTATATATCGGGATATTATATATATATATATTCTGACAAGGATTTGGGCAAGATTGCAACAAGGGGTTGTACCTGGCCTCAGAAAACTCCAAGCCTTCCGTGATTTTTCCATCCTCTCATCTTCATATTCCAGATACGCTCCCATCGTGTTTGGAGTATTCCGTTTCCAACCGTAGGTCTTGAAGAGTCTGTTGACCCATTTGCTGCTGACCGCAAGCTTGGCTTCCGGTGGTGAAATCCCTCTTTCCACACAAGACTGGCGCTGTGCTTCTGCATATTCATCCAACAATCGCTGGCAGTCCTCTTTTACCGCCTTCGTATGCACAGTTCCGGCTGTCAAGTTGGCGGTGGCCCCTCCACAAGTCACCTTTTCAACCATTTTGACAAGGGAAGCTACCACACAAGGGGGCACATTGCTGCCAGATTTCCAACGGTCAAGAGAGCGTGGAAGTAGACCCAAAGGCACTCTGATCCAATCTGGTAGCTCCTTGATGCGGTTTCTATCCTCAAGCGACATTTTCTCCCAAGGAACACTTCGCCAATTTTGGTTGTCAGCCTGAGAGATCCACCTACCCAGCATGCCTGTTTTGAAAGAACCAAAGGATCCCATGAAAATGTTTGGGAAAGTCTGCATCACTTTCTTCTCTATGCAAGTTTTTTCCCCCGCTTCGATGAGTCGATCCACTTCCCGGATTGCCAACACCTTTTGGTAGATTGAGACATGTACGCGGGTAGTTGGCTTCCTTCTCGCTGGTCTCTCCCCTTGCTCCCCTTCCTCCTCATCCAAATCTGCATCACCCTCGCTGTCCTCAACAGCATCCTCCTGGAATGGAGCCATTTGGTCATCACCCTGAGATTCGCTTTCTCCTGCTTCCTCTTCATCTGCAAGAACAATGGCCGTCTCCTGCAGAAACGGGCCGAACCAATACAAAAATGAGGAAAGCTGTGATAAACCAATGTATAAAATGTATAAAATGCTAATATATAAACATATGTACATAAAATATATATATATATATATACACATACACGTGTAATCAATATCAGCATATGGATGTGCAATGTGTATAAATATAAATATATATATATACATGTTTGTGTTTATCAATATTTACCAGGGTTATAAAAAAACACATATACAGTATATATATATATACACATATGTCATGTATGTATGTCTATCTGTCTGCATGTTTGTTTGTCTGTTTGTCTGTCTGTATGTATGTATGTATGCATGTATGTATGTATGTATCTATGTATGTACGTATGTATGTATGTATGTATGTATGTATGTATGTATGTATGGATGTATGGTAGCTACTATATCCTGGCCGTGCCGGGGCGGAAGTTTCCCAAAGGAAAAGCAGCTAGAGGAGATGGGGAAAACATATATATATATATAAAGTGCTGGGGAAAGTCAACAATACAGAAGAAAGCTCACAGCGTGTCCAGTTGCGAGACTGTTTGCTACACAGCCAGTTTCAATAAAAAAAGGGACGTGCATAGCAACAGGGATTATTGATGGGGGTGCCCTGTGACAGGTGCAGTAAGCAGATTGCTTACTGCAGGTATGCGTAAAGTCTCTGTATCATTGATGGGTTTTCCCATACAGTTTGGTATGTCATTGCCTGCCCCTCCAAAAAACACCCTTCTTGGAGCTTCACGTTTATAATATGTATATATATATATTTATTTATTTATGTATAGCACCTCTTCCTCTTTATCTGTGTAAAAATACACCACACTGATTGATTGTAATATATATATATATATGCAGCTTTGTTTGTATACAGGCCCCCTGGCAAAGGTGTAGTCACATATGCCTCAAAATCCCAAGGCATCAAGTAAATTCTTTATATATATATACATCGTCGAATAACCCCCAATAGTTGTGAAAGGGTGCAGTAAGCAGATTTTGGAATCTGCTTACTGCAGCTGCTGGCCGTATACCCTCCGAGTCCTCTTCTTCCGCTGCTTTTGGCAATGAAGAGATAGATGTGCTGGCTGTGGGAGTAGTAGAGGAAGCTGATGCTGATGCGGTGCTAGTTGGATCAAGCATTGAATCAGTGGACCCAGGGGATCTGCGAGGGCGCTTGGCTGGAGGGGTTTGGAATAGATCATCCTCGCCCTTGCCCCTCTTTTTTTCGCTGCTCTTTTTGTACTTTTGCCCGTCATAGGTGTGATTTTTGCTCGCTACCCTTTTGGCTGCTTTCACTTCAAGTATAGTCTTGAGATTGTGCACGGTAGTCAAAAGATGAGCAGCTTCACGTACATCTCTGGGACATTGTTCCGGGGTCACCTTGTACAGCTCGTCTCTAGCTTCTGGAAACTGCTCAATGCAGTGAGCAAATCGGTCCTCAATGGTCAGGTTGTCCGGGGAGAAATCTGTCAGATTTTCAGTCAGGAAGGCTGCAATGGATCCAAGTGCCTCTGCAGTAGCTTGGTAACCTTGAACAACTTTGGCTGTGTGGCAGATGCCTTTGTCTGTGGTGGCTTTTCTCTGTCGGAGCTTTCTTCTTGTCTGGCTGTTGTCTTTCCAAGTCTTTTCTTGCTGCTTCGGCAATCAGCTCCTTTTGGGTTCTCTCACCTCTTAAGATGCAAGCACGGTAAAGTGAAAGTGGACCTGTCCACAAGACAGAAGCGTGGAGTTCTTTGACGTGATCTGCCACTGATAAGCCTTTCTCGTGGGCTTCAAGCCCTTGTTCTGTGATCCGAAAAAATTTGGTCATCTTGTTTTTCCCGGTCAGTGCTGTTACGAAGTGTTCATTGCAATCTTTTTGGTGGTCACAAGCAAAGTTGAGATCTTCCTCGCACAATGTTGCCTCACCCGCGGTCTTCACAATCAAACACCCAACAACAAGCTCAGAGTGCTTGTCACAGAAAGCCTTCAACTCCTCATCCAAGAAAGTCTTGGAATGGATAGGCTGGTCTCTCTCAACGTCAGGAATCCATATGCTTTTCATGGTGACGATCCCCTTGTCATCAGCAGACCCAGTAAGAAACCCAAGGGTGCTGCTAGAAGGCTGAGAAAATGCGTGGTTGTTCATGTGGGAGAGGATGCCACCGCTGATGTTGAGCATGATCACAGCCTCTTTCCTCTTCAGAAATTCTTTCTTGTGCTGCAATCTGTCTTTGCTTGGTTTGAAGTGGCCCTGGGGATTGACAACCGACACAGTCTGACCTTCTAGCACGTCTCCTTTTGGAAGCCTCATTGAAGTGCTCTTGCTCTTAGCTTTTGCTGCTGCTACTCCTTTCTTCTCTTTCTTTTCAGTGCAATCTTTGGAATCTGCTGCTTTTTTCTTTGCTGCTGCTGTTTTTCCTTTCTTTGGCATCGGTTTCTCATCTGACCCTGCTTCATGGGTGCTTGCCGATGATGGTTTGGGCGCTGCTTTTGCTGTTGGTTTCATGAGCTTGAAGAAAGCTGGTTTCTCATCAGATGCTTCTTCGGTCGGTGCTTCTGCTGCTGCTGTTGTTGCTGATCCTTCTGCTTGTGGTTCAGCCAGCGGCCTGAAAAGAGCTCTGCCAATGGCCGATGGCAATTTCTTGTACTGGATTGGCTCTAGGTGTTGCACTTTTTGCAGAGTATGCCCATAGAACGGAAATGAGTACGGTGGCTCTGCACGTTTGTGAGCTGGTGCTAATTTCTCAAACTCTGCCAAATTGGAAATCTGAACTGCTTTGCCAATCTTGCACCGGGCATAGATTGTGTCCTTCACTGCTAAGTACATGTGATCATCGTGATCGACCACAGACTTTCTCAGTTCTAAAGTTTTGACACCCTCCATGACCTTGTCCAGCCATTCTTGCTTGAATAGCAAAATTTTGGCAAGAGACTCTGGTGTCTCAGCAATCTTTTCTGTGCAAACTTCAGCTTTGAACTTCAATGCATCTTCGATCTGCTTGCACTTTCCCTTTTTTCCTCCCCCGAGACTACTTCTGGAAGAACAAAGCTTTCGTACCAGGTGTCCAAAAGGTATGCCTTCTTGTCCTCTTTGTTTTTCTGCTTGTTGAACTGTGTCATGTTTCCGGACCATTCTGCCAACTTGGTCCTCATCTTTTCGATGGTCCATGCTCCTTGCTGAAGACGTTCTTCCTTGGCCAGCTGCAAAAGTGAGTTTCTGTCCCATTTTCTCTCTGTATATATATATATATATAATATATATATAAGTGCACATGTGTGGGTGTGTATTTTTGTGGGGCACATTTTCTTTATCAAGTATCCCGTCAGTTTAATTATACACAAGAGATGCAGTAAGCAGATTCTGCTAATCTGCTTACTGCACCTGTTGCAGGTGGACCATATCTTGTGCAACAAAAAATTGTACACAACTGGTTGCACCTTTCGAAGACAAACCAAGAGGTGTGTACATATATAAATGTCCCTAAGGAAAACGGTGGATGGGTTTCAAGCAAGTAACATGAACTTTCTTGTGAACTTCGTGCGCAAAAACTTTGGAAGTCCCAAGGTTGAAAGTCTTGGTGCCCACAAGAAGCTTGAAATTCTTGCCTTCCTTCGACAAACCATCAGGAAAGGACGGTGCTTGGATCTCTAGTATGTCTTGAGGTGCCTTTTCACGAAGCTTAAGAGATCCAAGAACTGCCATGAGGACCAACCCAATGTTCTGGAGTTGATTGCCGTTCCCGACACGGCTATGCCAGCCCATATCCAAATCCCAAGGCACAGGACCCCGAATACCTGCAGCACAAGCCTGTTCTTCCGAGACTGCAAGTCCTGATGCCGCCAGCTTCTCCCTTTCGGTAAGCCACCGTCCAAGTTGTGCATGAAACATTCTCCTAGCAGTGGGAGAGGCTTTCCGAAGGTTTCGCAACATTGCTAATGCATATATGTATATATATATAATATTATATATATAATATACATATATGTAAATACATTTATACAAATACAAATGTGTATATATATATATACAAATATACATCTGTATAGCTTTGCATAGAGCAATGTGTGTATGTGTACATGCATGTGACTTACAATACAGGCAGCAAAGAGAAAGGGTCCTTGTCCCTGACTTGGTGAAGCAAGGTAGAGAGTGATCTGTCCCAACAGCAGTTCGTCTTTCAACAGGGTTCTGGGAAAGCACAAACACTGGCGCACGATCGGAGAAGTCCTTCTCGTGCCTGGCGGCATATGTACTTTACCACATATATATATATATATATTTATGAGATAAATCATAAAGCCCTTTGGAAGCTACAGTCTCCAATTTTTTTTATTTTTATGGGGGTGCAACAAGCAGCTTGGGTCTATAGTCGAGAATCTGCTTACTGCAGCTGCTACCCCGTTGTGCTAGTAACCTGTATTTAATTCCTGGTAGTTACAAACCCATGTCTTAATACCCCTGCATGTACATAAATCTAAGGGTGCCTATATAGTCACCTCACAGCAAAAATTGTAAGAAATTGTATTTTATGGGATCTGGAAATGATTTCAATGAGATTGAACGGGATTTGTGAAAGAATTTAAGCCAAAAATATGGTGATTTCATGGGATGCTATGGGTTTATATATATATATATATGATTTTATGATAATTAAAACAAGAAATATGGTGATTTAATGGGATTCAGTTGGGTTTGTATAGAATCATGATTCTATGAGAATTTAAGCCAGAAATATGGTGGTTTAGTATGATTTAAGGGGATTTGATGGAATTTAGGCCAGAAGGTGAAGATTCTCAAAGAACAATATATAATTAACATATGTTTTTTTGCTGTGGGGTGGTAAGCAGATTGGTGGAATCTGCTTACTGCATCTGATTGGTGGAAATGTATTTATTTACATATATATATATATGTATATATATATATATATACACATATGCATATTTCAAGAGGTATCCCAGCCGCCGACCCCAAGTTTCCTTGAAAAACGCCAAGACGCTGCGCCATGTAGATCGGGAGGTTTTTGTTCTATATATATATATATACACATTTATAAATCATAAATCCCTTTGGAAGCTACAGTCCCCAAAAAACATGTTTTTTTAATGGGGGTGCAACAGGCAGGTTGGGTCTATAGTCGAGAATCTGCTTACTGCAGCTGCTACCCAGTTGTGCTAGTAACCTGTATTTAATTCCTGGTAGTTCCAAACCCATGTCTTAATACCCCTGCATGTACATGAATCTAAGGGTGCCTATATAGTCACCTCACAGCAAAAATTGTAAGAAATTGTATTTTATGGGATCTGGAAATGATTTCAATGAGATTGAACGGGATTTGTGAAAGAATTTAAGCCAAAAATATGGTGATTTCATGGGATGCTATGGGTTTATATATATATATATGATTTTATGATAATTAAAACAAGAAATATGGTGATTTAATGGGATTCAGTTGGGTTTGTATAGAATCATGATTCTATGAGAATTTAAGCCAGAAATATGGTGGTTTAGTATGATTTAAGGGGATTTGATGGAATTTAGGCCAGAAGGTGAAGATTCTCAAAGAACAATATATAATTAACATATGTTTTTTTGCTGTGGGGTGGTAAGCAGATTGGTGGAATCTGCTTACTGCATCTGATTGGTGGAAATGTATTTATTTACATATATATATATGTATATATATATACACATATGCATATTTCAAGAGGTATCCCAGCCGCCGACCCCAAGTTTCCTTGAAAAACGCCAAGACGCTGCGCCATGTAGATCGGGAGGTTTTTGTTCTATATATATATATATATACACATTTATAAATCATAAATCCCTTTGGAAGCTACAGTCCCCAAAAAACATGTTTTTTTAATGGGGGTGCAACAGGCAGGTTGGGTCTATAGTCGAGAATCTGCTTACTGCAGCTGCTACCCAGTTGTGCTAGTAACCTGTATTTAATTCCTGGTAGTTCCAAACCCATGTCTTAATACCCCTGCATGTACATGAATCTAAGGGTGCCTATATAGTCACCTCACAGCAAAAATTGTAAGAAATTGTATTTTATGGGATCTGGAAATGATTTCAATGAGATTGAACGGGATTTGTGAAAGAATTTAAGCCAAAAATATGGTGATTTCATGGGATGCTATGGGTTTATATATATATATATATGATTTTATGATAATTAAAACAAGAAATATGGTGATTTAATGGGATTCAGTTGGGTTGGTATAGAATCATGATTCTATGAGAATTTAAGCCAAAAATATGGTGGTTTAGTGTGATTTGAGGGGATTTGATGGAATTTAGGCCAGAAGGTGAAGATTCTCAAAGAACAATAATTAACATATGTTTTTTGCTGTGGGGTGGTAGGCAGATTGGTGGAATCTGCTTACTGCATCTGATTGGTGGAAATGTATGTATTTATTTACATATATATATATATATATATATATATGTATATATATATATATACACATATGCATATTTCAAGAGGTATCCCAGCCGCCGACCCCAAGTTTCCTTGAAAAACGCCAAGACGCTGCGCCATGTAGATCGGGAGGTTTTTGTTCTCAAACTCCGTCAAGAGAGGTGTCCAGTCATCCAGCTTGCAGGTAGCCGGCAGTCCTGGCGGCAGGCGGATTTGCACACCAAAAACCATGTCTCTCACTATATGCAGCACAGGAATTGATGTGTCTACTTATATAAGCACATAAAATTACGCGAAATCAAACACAACATAAACCGAACATGTCAACCGAACAATATGTGATATATATATACACATACATACACACATATGGGGCTGCTTCCCCTCGAGAAAAATGTGTGTGCGTGCGTATATATATATATAAATAATATATATATATATGTATGCGCATGTATTCATCCAAATTGTTGGATTTGGGGTTGCTTTCCCCCCTCAATACCTTACTCAACCAGTGGCTACACTTTAAACTTGTTGGTCCGAAATACATCAAAATAGTCAAAAAACACCTATATAAAAAGCAATTGGGTGTGATTTTGCGGTATTTTATGATTTTTTTAGATTTATATTGGATTGTTCTGGTGTATTTGGATTATATAAATAAAAAATCTAAGGTTTTTTTCCTCGGAGGGAAACCCACTCAGCCAAAATACAAGTTGGAATTTTAACCACAAAAAACAGACACGACCCGAATTGCCCTACCGACAGAAATCACTTTTTTCTGGCAAAGGAAACCGCGACCTCAATAAGTCATATGCACATTTTGAGCGCAATCGTTAGATGCAGATCAGTCAAGCAGCCACGGGCTCATTTTGAACCAGGTGACCCTGTCTTTCTTTGCACACATTTCGGAACTTTAACTAATAGCTTCTTACAATCTAAGCACCGAATCTGGAAGTTCTTGTCATTTGTGCCCCTTCTGGTTGTGTTTACATGAGGACAGGTGTGTGGCAAGGGCTGTCCTGAACATGAAGCCTGCTTTTTTGGACGTTGAGGTGTAAGAGGCTTGGCTTCTGCGTCGTCATCACTCACCAAGCTCCACTCCGATTCTGCATCATCACCACTCGGACCCATGAGCACAGCTTCAATGTGCTTGGAAATCACCAAAATGTCATACCTTGTCATAAAGCACAGCGCTGCGTACACGAAGATCCTAAGAGCAAAACTCACACACTGCGCACAGATTGCCCACGCGAAGAGAAAAATGTGAGGGCCACTTTGGGTCGTCGATGCCATGAATCGCACGCGTGCTGTAGATTTCAATGGTCCGGGTATATATATATATATATCGAAATGCGCTTTGAATTTGTTCGAGCCAAAAAAGGCTATACCATGTAAGTTTTTCCCTTGCCAACATCAAAGTGTAGGTGCCTGTAGTAAGCAGGTTCTGAATCTGCTAACTGCATTGCTATGCTTTTGCTATGTGAAATGTTTGTAACCTTTATATATAAGTGTATACATACAATAATGCATTTTTATACATATACTATATACTAGCTGCAATTATACAAGCGCGATTTGGATATATTATATAGCTGAAGGTTCCCAACCTTCTTCCCTGAAATCTCTTGATGCCCACTCTTGCCCACCCCCTGGGGACTCCTTCCGATTGGCCACTGCGCTGCATCTCCAATCGTAGAGCTCCTTCATC